AAAATACATTGTATTGCTCTGTATTTCTTCCTTTAGGTCTAGTAATACTAATGGAATCTGGGTGCTCTGGTGTTGGGTACATATATATTTAGAATTGTTATATCCTCTTGCTGAACTGATCCCTTCTTCATTACATAATTTTCTTTGTATTTTTTGAAACTGTTTTTGATTTGAAGTCTGCTTTACCTGTAAAGTATAGCTACCCCTGCTTACTTTTGGTTTCTGTTTGTATGAGTATCTTTTACCACCTCTCTAATCCCAACTTTCAGCCAAGAAAGTACTTTTTGGCTTTTGGGATTTTTTTTTTTCTTTCAGCACTTTGATTATGTCATCCCATTGTCTTTTGGCCTGTAAGGTTTCCACTGAAAAGTCTGCTGTTAGTCTGATGAGATTTTCTTTATAAATAGCTAGACATTATTCCCTTGCTGATTTTAGAATTCTCTCTTTCATTTTGACTTTAGACAGTTTGATTATAACACGTCACAATGAAGTCCTTTCTGCAATGTATTTTCCTGAAGACTGCTGGGCCTTCTGTATCTGGATGTCTAAATCTCTTGCTAGGCTTGGAAAATTTTCATCAATTACTTTGTTGACTAGGTTTTCTAAGCTTTAAATCCTTCCCCTTGGGAATACCAATAATTCATAAGCTCAGTCACTTTACATAAGTCCCAAATGTCCTGTAGGCTTTGTTCATTCCTTTACTCCCTATGAACATGGACACAAAATTCCTCCATAAAATACTTGCAAATCAAATCTAAAAGCACATCAAAGATACTACACCATGATGCAGTAGTTTCTATCTCAGGGGTGCAAGAATAGTTCAATATACACAAATCAATAAATGTGGTAATTCCCATAAACAGAATTAGGACAAAAACCATATGATCATTTCAAAAGACACAAAAAATCCATTTATTAAAATTCAGCATCCCTTCATGATAAAAACTCTCAACAACCTAGGCATAGAAGAAACACACCTCAAAATAATAAAGGCCATATGTGACAAACCCTCAGCCAACATCACACTGAATGGGGAAAAGTTGGAAGCATTTCTTGTAAGAAATGGAACAAGATTTCTTACAAGGATGCCCACTTTCACCACTCCTTTCAACATGGTACCGGAAGTCCTACCCAGAGCAATCTGGCAAGAGAAAAAAAAAATAAAAGATATCCAAATTGGAAAAGAGTAAGTCGAATTATCCCTGTTTGCTGATATGATTTTTTTTTAAGAGATGGGGTCTCATTCTGTTGCCCCAACTGGAGTTCAGTGGCACAGTAATAGTTCACTGCATCCTCAAACTCCTAGGCCCCAGCTATCCTAGTAGCTAGGGTATCCAGCCTTCCAAGTAGCTTGTACTACAGGTACATGCCACCACATCCAGCTAGATAGTGGTATGATCTTACATCTAGAAAAACTTAAAGATTACACACACACACAAAAAACAAATTTGAAAATGAAATCAGTAAAGTTTTCAAGATGTAAGATCAACTTATAAAAATCAGTACATTTCTATATACCAATACTATCTAGTTGAGAACAAAAATCAAGAAAGCAATCTGACTTATAACAGCTACAAAAAAAACCCTAGGAATAGGGGTGGGGGTGGGGAAAAAGAAAAAAAAGAAAAAACAAACCTAGGAATATATTTAACCAAGGAGGTGAAAGAACTCTACAAGAATAAGAAAACACTGATGCAGAAAAAAGTAGATGACACAAATGGAAAAACATCCAATGTTCACAGATAGGAAGATTGATATTGTTAAAATGACAACACTATCCAAATTAATCTTTAGATTAAATGAAATTTCTATCAAAATACCAATGTCATTTTTCACAAAATTAGAAAAAAAAATCCTAAAATTAATATGGAACCAAAACAAGAGTCTGTATAGCCAAGCAATACTAAGCAAAAAGACCAAACCTGGAAGTATCACATTACCTGTGATACTTTACCTACAACGCTGTAGTAAACACAACATGGTACTGGCATAAAAACAGATGCATAGATCAATGGAACAGAATAAAGAACCCAAAAATAATGGCTCATATTTATAACCAACTCAGCTTTGACAAAGTCAACAAGAACATACATTGGAGATAGGACAACTTTCACAATAAATGGTGCTGGGAAAATTGGATTGCCATGAAGAATGAAACTGGATCTCCCTTAACAATATACAAAAATCAACTCAAGATGGATTAAACACTTAAAGACGTGAAATTATAAAAATACCAAAAACCTAGAGAAAACTCTTCTGGACACTGATCTAGACAAATAATTCATGACTAACAGCCAAAAAGCACAAGCAACAAAAACAAAAATAGACAAATAGGATTTTATAACACTAAATAATTTCTACACAGAAAAATTAATTACCTAAGCAAACAGAAAACCTGCAGAATGGGAGAAAGTATAGGCAAACCATGCGTCGGACAGGAGACTAATATCCAAAATTTACAACACAAGAAGCTCAAACAACAACAAAAAATCAAATAATCCCATTAAAAAGTAGGCAAACGACATGAATGGGTACTTTTCAAGATGGCAAAATTGGCCAAAAAAGCACATGAAAAAATGCTCAACATCATCAATCATCAGAGAAATACAAATTAAAACCACAAAGAGTTATCACCTTATACCAATCAGAATTGCTATTAAGACAAAAAAAAAACAGGTATTAGTGAGGATGCAGAAAAGGGAACACTTATACACAGTTGATGAGAATGTCAATTAGTACACCCTCTGTGGAAATCAGTATAAAGATTTCTTGAAGAATTGAAAATAGAACTACCACTAGATATAGCACTCGCACTACTGAGTATGTACCAAATAAAAAGAAATAATTGGCTGGGCGTGGTGGCTCAAGCCTGTAATCCCAGCACTTTGGGAGGCCAAGGCAGGCGGATTACAAGGTCAGGAGAGTTCAAGACCAGCCTGGCCAAAAGAATGAAACCCTGTCTCTAACAAAAAAATATAAAAATGAGCCAGGCGTGGTGGCGAACCTGTAGTCTTGGATACTTAGGAGGCTGAGGCAGGAGAATCATTAGAGCCCGATGGGGGGGGAGGGTCGAGGGGGAGGAGTGGCCGAGGTTGCAGTGAGCCCAGATTGCACCACTGCACTCCAGCCTGGGCAATAGCAAGATTCCGTCTCAAAAAAAAAATAAATAAATAATAATAATAATAATTACATCAAAAAGATTCCTATGTTTATTATAGGTTTATTACAGGACTATTCACAATTTCCAAGAGCAAATATATGGAATTGACCTAAATGTCCATCAACATATGCATAAAGAAAATATGATATTTACATACAATGAAATACTATTCAGCCATAGAAAAGAATAAAATCATGCCTTCTGCAGCAACACGGATGTAACTAAAGGCCATTATCTTAAGTGAAACAAGTCAGACACAGACAAACAGCGAATATTCTTCCTTGTAAATGGGAGCTAAATAATGTCTACTCATGCACATAGAGTGTGAAATGACAGACAATAGAGACGGAAAAAGGTGAATGGGTGGGAGCGGTGAATGACAAGAAATTACTTAATGGGTACAGTGTATGTACATTGTTGGCTGACAGATACTCTCCGATACCTGATCTTGCATGTAACAAAACTGTAATTGTACCCCATAAATTTACATACATACACAAGAGTATAAAAATAAACTTAAGAACTTAGAAATGAAACAAATCCTTAGTATTAATGTTTGTGATATTTTCTGTGTGTTTAGCGTGTTAAGCATTTATAACATTTAAGACAAAATTTTGCCTATTAGGGTAAAAGATCAGCCTTATAATTCCAATTTAAAACATATCAGCAGCTGGGCATGATGGCATATGCCTATAGCCCCAAACTACTCAGAAGGCTGAGGCAGAGGATCACTTAAGCCCAGGAATTCGAGGCCAGCCTGAGCAAAACAGCAAGATCTCTAAAAAACAAAACACCAAACCAAACCCCAAAACAGAAATGAAAAACTTTTTATAGTCAGTAGTTAGTTAATTTAGACTTGTGGTTTTAATTTGAAGTTTCATTAAGTAGTACTAAAACATACGATTTTCCACATTTATATGTTTAATTTATTAGGTATCTCTAAGATTTACTTCAATCATATGTGAAAGTTTGTCAGGAAACTGAAGTATTTCACAAATACTGTTAAGGTTATTCAAGAAAGTAAAAAAATTAAGTTTGTAAAAGGAATAAAATTAAATCAAAGTCCTCTTTTAAATGTTCAAATTTACGTAAAAAATAAGACTTGTAGGCAGCCAGGTGTGGTGGCTCACGCCTGTAATCCCAGCACTTTGGGAGGCAGAGGTGCAGATCATCTGAGGTCAGGAGTTTGAGACCAGACCAGCCTGGCCAACACTGTGAAACTCTGTCTCTACTATAAATACAAATTAGCCAGCTGTGGTGGCGCATGCCTGCAATTCCAGCTACCTGGGATGGAGAGGCTGAGGCAGGAGAGTTGCTTGAACCAGGGAGACGGAGGTTGCAGTGAGCTGAGATAACACCACTGCACTCCAGCCTGGGTGACAAGAGTAAAACTCTGTCTCAAAAAATAAAAATAAAGTAAGACTTGTAAACCAAACTTCAAAACTTAAAGAATTTGGGTTTTAAATTTAATTTTAATAAGCTACATAGTAATTCTTAAAACCAAAGGAACTGGTGAATAATCTTCCATTTACAAAGTCACCTTCAAGGATACCAACTCTTAAGTTTTACCTTCAAAAACTCAAATTCTTCCTCTTACATAATGTTTTCCTCTTTTAAAAAGATGGATCTATCATTCAAATTGCTGATTTGTTCTGTTCTAGTGGCATAATTTAGAAAAGAACATTTTCCTTTTCAAACTTACTTCTACCCAAGATTATAAGCACTTGTAAACAAGTATCTTTGAAAAGATCTCACACAAGGCAACTGATATATAGTAACTGTTTCTGGTTGATGAACTGAATTTTAATAATTACCAGTTTCTTTTTAAATAAGCTATTACCTCTGTTACATCCCAGTGGTGTAAAAATTGATCCAAATCTGTAAGGTAGAGAAGCACAGGGGAAAGCTGTGTCTGGATGACATGAGGAACTCCTCGAAGGCTCTGAAGCCAAGTCAGCTCCTCTTTTGAAAACCCTAATTCAGGTAACAAAGAAAGCCAATTAAAAAACAAAGGCAGTGACATTTCTCATAATTTTTTAAAAAACAGAGATGACATGTCTTCAAGTGAACATCCTTTAAGCTACCTTGTTTACTCTGAGCTTCTGCATTTCATGCATGTTTTTTATATTAAAAAAAATAAAATGCTACCAATGGAGGCAGTTAAATTCATATAATTATATAAAAGATTTGATGAGACTCGATCTATACTATAGCAAGAAACAGGTTTTACCCCTTTTACTAGGGTTTTGACACTTTTACTTAAAGTGAAAGACATAAAATCTTTCCAATTAATGGTAGGTTTAAAAGCGAATGTGCAAGTAAAAGCAATAATAATACTCCTACATATATATCAAATGCCTTAGGTTTTTAGATAATAATCCTTCAAATGTCTTAAAACTGCCCTATCCCCCTGTTTTTACTTTGACAATACATGTATAGTTCATTTAACAATTTCTGGTTCCCCTTACCACCTCTATTACATTTGGCCTGACCTACACAACCAACCTGCCAAAGTCCCTCCTGAAAGGTAGTTCTCAGAATGATCAGAATACCACCGATGTGGCCCAGCATTATCTACCTTGATGTTCAAATACTATACTTCTGTAAGCACAACCTAAAGAGGCATTGTCTAGTTTGAATGCCACGCCATAGTACTGACTCTCAATGAGCTTTCTAAAACCGCTAAAAACTTTTTGACAAGTACTATTATTAACAAAGCCATCTCAAATGTATACTTTCAAAAATATACAACAAACATATAGGAGTTTACGTGTATCTTCTGAAATATTTATTTTGCTGGATTCAGCACAGTATTGGAATTGCCTAGTTCTTTTTGGATTCTGACACTGTATTAACTTTCCTAATTTCAAGTCTTCAGAGAATTTCAAAGAATCCCATTATTATCCAAGTATAAAATGAAAATATTCAAATAATACAATTATTTAAAGTAACAGTAATACATCAAACTTAAAAATACAATAACATGACATTCAAATAATGTTCAGGGTTTTAATACTCATACTGTAAGAGATTTAAAGACAAATCATCCATCTTCCTGCCTCAGGAGCCTAACAATGTAGGTCAGAAATATTCCTTCAAAGATTTCCACTTACTAATCACAAAAATCATTCCAAGATAGAATATTTATCATCTTCAAAACTGAACCAAACCAATAAAATGTCAAATCTTAAGAGGAGAATTATGATTCATATTAGGTTTTTTCTTTTTTAATCCGGCATGTGAATGCGGTTACCTGTAAGTGTGGAAAACAAGAAGCTGAAATAGTCCACATCACTCATCAACCAGTCTTTAGCTGAATACTTCCACCCAGAAAATGATGATCTATAACAAACAATGGGAGAACTATTACCAGAAGTGACCAAGCTGACAGACTTTTCAAAGGCAGCATAGTACATAACCATTTATCTTTATTGAAAACAAGTTTCATGTAGTAGCTCAAAATAAAACCCCTAGTATGCATTGTATTAATTGTATATTCAAGGGCTCAAGTACCATAGTAGGAAAGTTTGAAATTCAAGCATATTAACATAAAGTTTCATTAAAAAGCATACTTGATCAATATATATAGTACGACAGAAAATTTCCATCCCATTTGAAAATCAGACTCTAAGGAGCCAAGATAAAGTTTTGCTTTTCAGTAGTAGGTTCAGCTGCTATGTATTTACTATTTGATTTTTATAGTCTTAGCCTCAGTAAGCGAGTTAAGTTTAAATAAGCTTCAGCTTCCTACATAACTAAGCAAAAGTATCTTAATTAGGCAAAGAAAATATAAAGCAACTATGTGTTCTTATTCTTAGCAAAGTTGTATTTCACAATACAACTTTATTGTATTTCACAATAGTGCAGCTAAGGTATTGGCAGAGGACTCAAAAGGAATTGCTAAATGTAAAGCAGCTTCTCATTAAATGAGGATTATTCGGTTCCTGCTATGAGATCAGTTTCTAGTGTCTCCTTTAAAAATCCCCTTCACAGTAAGGCTGGAAAGAAAGAACAAATGTCAACTATGGGTATTGCAAAAAGGCTGAAAATATACAGACAAGCTGATACTAAAAATTTTATCACAGACATCTGAATAAATATCAAACAAAATTAGGGGCTTCTAATTCACCTATAAGTGCTTATTCTTTTTTTTTTTTTTTTTTTTTTTTTTGAGAGGGAGTTGCGCTCTTTTTGCCCAGGCTGGAGTGCAATGGCACGACCTCGGCTCACTGCAACCTCCACCTCCTGGGTTCACATTCTCCTGCCTCAGCCTCCCAAGTAGCTGAGACTACAGGTGCCTACCAGCCCACCACCACGCCCCGCTAATTTTTGTATTTTTAGTAGAGACAGGGTTTCACCACGTTGACCAGGCTGGTCTTGAATTCCTGACCTCAGGTAATCTGCCCACCTCGGCCTCCCAAAGTGCTGGGATTGGCCTTATTAATATTCTTAAGGAGGGGACAGACGTAAAATAGCAAAAACACTTTTCTTGAGTATCATTCCCACGTGATAAGCAAAGGTTTATGAAGGCAACAGCACAAGCTAAAGGGGTTATAAAAAGCATAGATGCTCAACAGAAAGAAGTACAAAATAGGGGTTAGAAAACAATTATCCTCTTGAACCCAATAAAAACAGGAAACAATTGTGCCATCCAGTGGCCAAAAGGGGAGCAAACTTATTTAACAGCCTATTTAAAATTCTGACCTTGTGAAAAGTGATAAATGACAAGCAATATATCACACTTTCTTTAAAACTATTAAAACCATACACACTTTCCAAGCCTGAACACTTCTGCGAGTAAAAGAGGGTGCTGGCGCTAATTATGCTGGGCCAAAAGGAGTAAAATGGAACTGTTCCCAGCAGACCAGGTCATATTTATATTCACCCTATTTAAAACCCAAACCAACTTCTTAACGCAAGTCAATCTCTCCTTCCTCAGAGATTTTATATAACACCAAAGAGCATCTTTCCATATTTATGCTTTATGTTCCCCCAATCTGGCTATAAATAAACCGGGGTAGAGGGGTAAGAACTGAGAAAAGGCCACTGGATATTGCTATGGAACACCACAAGTAGAATGGTATGAGGAAAATGTCAGATTCTAAAATACTGTAATTGGTTGGTAAAAAGGTAGAGACAGCAATTCTAAACACATTTTTGAAAAGCTGAGAGAAAATAAACACGAACGATTTCTAGCTGATGGGTTATTAACACATGGAATCCCTGCTTATGTGGTACATGTCCTGCCATTAGACAAATGCTTTAACAGAGATGGCAAGGCATCGGAACTACAAAAATTGAGTTAAACTTGATCTCACAGACCAATTAACGTGACAAGATAAAAATCAGCAATGAGTAAAGGAGTATTTCAGAAAATTTAATCTGGCAGCAGTGCACACGATGCATGGGACTGAGAAGTAACATTATAAGAGTGTTAAGTGGGAAATAATTTTTCAATGGGCTATTTTATAGTCATGGTCAAGAAGACAAGGTATTATAAAGAGAAAACTAAAGATATGAAGTAACCCAACATATGTCTGAATGAACTAAACTTAGTCTTTTTTTTAAGAGTCTCCCTCTGTCACCCAGGTTGGAGTGCAGCGGGACAATCTCAGCTCACTACAACCTCCGCCTTCTGGGTTCAAGCAATTCTCCTGCCTTAGTCTCCTGAGTAGCTGGGATTACACGCACAAGCCACCACGTCCAGCTATTTTTGAATTTTTAGAAGAGAGGGGGTTTCACCACATTGCTCTTGCTGGTCTCAAACTCCTGACCTCAAGGTGTTCTGCCCGCCTCAGCCTCCCAAAGTACTGGGCTTACAGGCGTGAGCCACCACACCTGGCCAGTTTTAAATTATGACCCTACGAAAAGGGATAAAATGATAGTGCCATGGGCTCAAGAAGGCTGAAATTTTGTATTCTTTTTAAAAAGGGACTACTTGGGCAGGGGCAGTGGCTCATGTCTGTAATTCCAGCACTTTGGGAGGCCAACATAGGCAGATCACCTGAGGTCAGGAGAGTTCGAGACCAGCCTGACGAACATGGAGAAACCCCATCTCTACTAAAAATACAAAATTAGCCAGGCGTGGTAGCACATGCCTGTAATCCCAGTTACTCAGGCAGCTGAGGCGGGAGAATCGCTTGATCCTGGGAGGCAGAGGTTGCAGTGAGCTGAGATCCCGCCACTGCACTCCAGCCTGGGCAACAAAAGCAAAACTCCACTTCAAAAAAAAAAAAAAAAAAAAAGAGAGGTGGTAATAATATACCTATATAGAGAGAAGTCTACTAATAGATTCTGTACAAACACTAAAATTAAAATTTAATTTGGTACTTTTAACTATAATGAAAATCGTTTAATTACAAGTCCATATTATCAATATTTGTAAAATTAATATATTTTCCCCCAACTCTTGCCACAAATCTCCACAAAAAGTTAAAAAAAAAAATTAAAAAATTAAAAATTTTAAAAAACATCATTGACAGAAGTTACTAAACATAAGCGAACAGATGTTGATGAAGACATCAAATGCATCTTCCAAGGAGAATCAATTTCAAGAAATTGAAAGGGTGATGGAACTGAACTGAATGTTAAGTTACATCCAAAGAACAGAGTGCCCTCTACTGGAAGTCAAATAAAAAACCTCTTAAATTATAGAAAAAAACATTTAATTTTTAAAAGGCCTAGCATTTTGCTTACATGAAACAAAGGTTTCTTCATCTCTAAAAACGTGAGAAACTAATCAATATTTAAAATTCTTTTAAAATATGATCAGGCCCCTCAAATGTGCATATACAACAAAGAAAGAGGCTGGGAGCAGTGGCTCACGCCTGTAATCCTAGCACGTCAGGAGGCCGAGGCAGGTGAATCATGAGGTCAAGATATTGGGACCATCCCGACCAACATGGTGAAACCCTGTTTATACTAAAAAACAAAAATGAGCTGGGTGTGGTGGCACGTGCCTGTAATTCCAGCTACTCAGGAGGCTGAGGCAGAAGAATGGATTGAACCTGGGAGGTGGAGGTTGCAGCGAGCCGATATCACACTATTGCACTCCAGCCTAGCAACAGAGCGAGACTCCATCTCAAAAAAAGGAAGAAAAAGAAAAAACCGAAATCTTGAATTTTTAAATACAAACGATATTCTATTTATATGTTTTGCTCTCTACTTTGGTAAAAGGAAACTTTATTGTCAGTTATGAAGCACACCTCCAGTGAACAGAGCCAAATGTCTGTCCTATACTGGTATGAAGAAAGCCTACTAAGAGTAAGCTACCCTTAATTACCTGAGATAGGGGATCTAGACAACAACTTTTCAACTGCAGCCTAGATTTCTTTTTTTTTTTTTTTTTTTTTTTGATGTGGCCTAAAACCACATCAGACCCTTCCCATGAGCCACAACCAGTAACACTGCAGAATACTAAAATATTATGACTGAAGATATATATACAAGGATACTTCCAACACAAACAATATAAAACCTTTCAGAGTAAAACAGCACAGCCACTATGGAAAATGGCATGTAGAGCTAGCTACTTGGGAGGCCAAGGTGGAGGATCTCTTGACCCCAAGCCTTCAAGGCTGCAGTTAGCTATGATCATGCCACTGCACTCGAATGTGGGCAATAGAGTGAGACCTCATCTCTTAAAATATTAAAACTTTTTAAGAAAGGTTAAAATGGTAAATTTTACATTTATTAAACCACCAGAAAAAAAAAGTGAGAGATTACAGGTGATTCCTGGTCTCAGTTCACGAGCTTATTTAATTCGCCAGTGACATTAAATTCATCTGTATTCCAATTCCATAACAACAAAGGTTTGAAGTAGGACACTCTTACCTACCAAAAAATCCCTTATTATGCACACTTTTGAAAATTCCATTTCAACCCTTATTCCAACCTAATAAAAATCATTAAACAAGTAACTTGAAACAGTCTTACTCTTATGAACTTACTCTACATACTGATATCAACAGAGTTGTAATTGTTGCATTAAGAGTAAATGAAGTAATGTAGTGTATGTGACTTCAAAAGCCTTCCGTAATTCACAAATTACCAGTAAAAGGGGGAGATTATACACTTCAAATATAGCTCACTTGAGCATGCTACCTCATGTGCAGTATCCCGATAAGCATGGCAGCCAAACTTGAACTGAGTCTTCCCATAATACAGCAACGACTTAACCGAGAAAGCAAATCAGTAGGCAGATTGGGTAGGAAATATACAAGCTGAACCAAACGCTGCTGAGAGTCTGCAGGGAGAACCACCACAGTGCCTTCTTGTGGATCTAGTGAGGTGGACAGACATATTAAAATCAACTATGATAAAGCAGATCAATGACTTCCATTGAATTATAGGCTAACATTTTATGCTAAATATCCATTACTTAAAAGCATAATTATATTACTATCATAAGGCACATATGCACAGCTTGTTATGCTACTGCACAAAACACCAAACATAATTTATTTAAAGATTTAATATCCAAGTGTCTTTTTGGAAATAAAAACTTTCATGGGAGTAAAGAGGAAAAGAGATTGGGTACAAAGAAAACAAGCAATTTTGTTAAACAGTGACAATTATAACATCAACCTGACTTATGGTAAAAGAGTTTGTTTGCTGTGTGTGTATATATATATATACACCTACATATATATGACCAATATTGAAAGATACATATTTAAAACTATAACCCACAAAAGTGGAAACCACTCAAATGTTCATCACTAGACAAATGGGTAAATACCTGTGGCATATCCACACAATGAAATACTACTCAACAATAAAAAGGAATAAAGTATTGATACTTGCTGCAACATGGATAAATCTTGAAAATATTATGCTAAGTGAAACAAGCCAGACACAAAAGGCCCCATGTTATATAATTCCACTTATAAGAAATATCCACGATAGGCAGATCCATATAGACAGAAAGTAGGTAAGTGATTTTCAAGGGCTGAGGGAAGGAAGGAATAAGGCTAAACTACTTATCAGTACAAATTTATTTTTGGAGTGACAAAAATGTTTTGGAATTAGATAGTGGTGAGAGTTGCACAATCTTAGGAACGTATTTTTTTATTTCTTTTTTTTTTTTTTTTGAGACAGAGTCTCACTCTTGTTGCCCAGGCTGGAGTACAATGGCATAATCTCGGCTCACTGCAATCTCCACCTCCCGGGTTCAAGCGATTCTCCTGCCTCAGCCTCCTGAGTAGCTGGGATTACAGGCACACACCACCAAGCCCAGCTAATTTTTGTATCTTTAGTAGAGGCAGGGTTTCACCATGTTGGTCAGGCCAGTCTTGAATTCCTGACGTCATGATCCACCAGTCTTGGCCTCCCAAAGTGCTGGGATTATAGGTGTGAGCCACCACGCCCGGCCAGGAATATATTTTTAAAAATTCATTGAACTGTACATTGTAAAACAGTGAATTTTATGGTATGTGAATTATATCTCCATAATTATATACATACATACATCCCAGTTATGTTTTAATAATTTTGCTTAAAGTATTACTTGTCAGTTCCAGAATAAAGAATATAAAGTCATACAAGATATTCATTATGATTAAATAATAAAGATATGTCTTGCCAAAGGAATTTTTAAGTATCAGATTAGTTTTGAATTTATGAATAGCAAGTAGTTTGAAAGACAATTTAAGAATGTAATAAGCATCTAGAATCATTAACCTTTTATATTCTAATAAATAATACTACTGAAAATGAATTTACTGGCTGATGTTTTGTTTTGGCAATGGCATCACTAATTTAGACTAACTGACAGGCAAACCTACAGAGCGCCTCTTAAAAACTTCTTTTGTATATCAGGGTGGACCAATGACTACCTACACCATTAAATAAACAAACTCTTACCATAAATTCGGAGGGCGGTAGCTTGTAAACTCTTCAGTAATTCTTTATTTGCTCGTGCTGCAGCAGTATGAATGATATCAATAAGCTGTGTGGAGAGCTCAGGATTTCGGGAGCCAAGATGAGCAAGTTGCAACGGTAAACCAGCCAGCCAACGGGATAACACTTTACTACGATATCTTAGAAAGACCAAGGAAGAATAAAATGTAATTCTTAAAGACAAGGAAAATAATTTAAACAACAAAAAAAAATTTAAACCAACACATCACAAAGTGACTAATTATGTACAAATAATAATACATTATTCATTTAAACATTTGAGAACCTACAAGATGCCAGCATCATCTTCCAAGGCTTTACCCACTAAATTAATTTAATTGGGGGCAATATATATATATTATATTTTTATTTTGAAGGATAAAGACACTTAACTGAACTATTTATCCTAACTGGTGTTACTGTATATTAACAAATGTACAACACATTCACCGTAAGTTGCTTCGACACAAAATGGCTTCAAACTTGTGCTATTTTATTCCTTGAGAAAACTTGGTAGAGTGCAAATGTCTTATAGTAAACATTTTTACTAGGTCCCCTGAGAGATTGATGATTCTATCATGGACTCTGCTGTCAAGACAGACCTGAACTTAAGTCTCAGCTCTACTACACATTAGCTACGTAATACTCACCAATTTATTTATTTTCTGCTTCCTTCTGTAAAATGGGAGCTAACAGTATCTACCTCACAGTAGCAGTATGAAAATTACTGAGGTTATGTAAAGTACTGGCTTAAAGTAAATACTAGAATGTTACAGCTACCTATGTATGTTGAGGTATCCCAAATCTTCATCTTCCTCTCAAACATTTCTGACCTGTATCAAATAAACCTCAAATTTGCCTTACTGAAAAATTCCTGAGTTGCACTCTTTTGTTGTCTCTCTGATAGCACCAAGCTAGGCCAGAAACTTTCTCATTTTCTACTGCCCTCACTCTTATCCTATATGCCTCAATATGTCACTAATGGCTAGAAATTCAACCTCCATAATTTTTAAGGAAAGAGAAGAGGCTGAGGTTGTTACAACTGTTCCTTAGCTGCAAGTGGGCAGGTAGAAATGTACGCCTAAGCAGTCTTTTATTTGTTCAAATATGGGCATAACGTTTACTGGCACTATTATGTAGGCTTCTTATAAAATTTTGTATCATTTCTTAAATGCAAGCAAGTAGGATTAAAAAGAATAAACTTCTCCAAAGATTTAATCTCTCTAAAATTATTTAAATATTTAAACAAACTACAGAAAAACTCAGCAAGAGAAAAAGAAAGGAAAAATAACAAGATTTTACCTGAATCTACAAGATCTCAGTTCTTCTGTCTGATAGATTTTACTGAAAAACTTCAATAACAAAGTTCGAACTGGAAGGATAAGGCCCCTCTGCTGATATAATGTATAAACTGCCTTAATAAGAGTCTCTGTGTCCTCTATAAACAGAAAGAAAACAACTTGCATATGAATAAAAAAAGGTTTCTTTAACAGTCCCCAAATTCCTCTGAATGCACAGAAGGACTTTACTTTGCTCCTATGGCAAAGCCAATTTTAGCCACAAACTGACAACTTCCATTGAAGTCCTACAGCAATGGCTTAATAAAAATGTCAAACCAATCAGTAGCTACACTATAAATTTTCTTAAGAACAAACCTAGGAACAACAAAAAACAAGATATTAGAAACACGATTTAGATGGGAACCAAACAGGAAAGCTTTGTTTTGAATCAAAGTCACTCTAAAACTGACTTAATATAACTTAACTTCAAGCTAAAAGAAAGGTAGAGAGACAGGGAAGATTCATTCCATATGAATCAAAGGGAAAAGTTCTCAATTTCTAGTCAAACTAGATCAGAAGATGGTAGAAATCTTTATCAATTTGCTTCAGAGTAGACCTACCCACTTAGAGATACTCTGAGCCATAAACAATTTTAGTGTTCAAGTAGACAGTAGCTACCTTTTATAGCTCGAATATAATTAGCCTGACTACATGGAATGTTTAGAAGTCGTCATTTCAAAGCTAGACCTTAAAATAGCATACGTAAGAGCTCTACTCTTAAATGAGGGCAAAGTAGCATCACGTACCTCTGTTTGGTTGTATTTGCATTAGCCTCCAGGATACTCCAAGCAATCTGTTCAGTTGCTTACTATTTAGCCTAGAGCCATCTTCAAGGGTCTCTGTTACAAATTTCCTTATCATTTCTATCCAACTGCAATCCTTTTGCAAAGTTGTGGCATTTGCCAGGGAGACCATGATATCAGACAGTGTTAAATTCAGTAAGAGATGATCTATGTTATTGGAGAGAACTGTGCAATGCTTGATGCTAGAAACAAACAAAGACACACACATCTATAAAGTGTTACATCTACCATGCCTGCTTCATTAGGATACTTAAAATAACCTATCAGTGGATTTTTTAAAAATTCCCTTCTAGAATTAATAGATGGCAAGTAGATAAGTACATAAACAAGATTTAGGCCACAGTTCTATAAATAAACCATTTCATTATGGAATCAGAGTTGTTCAAAGAAGGTATAAATTAGAGTGTATACAGCTCAATTCATTACTCAAGGTGCTATTCACACAAAATGTAAATGCCCTTATGTTTTGCTTGGGGACTTGAAAGATAAGACTTAAAAACCCTGACACACCTGATTTCTTTTAAAGGAGATACTTATATCTGGATGGAAATCACAGTAGATCTTGGTTCTGCTTTTAACTTATCATCTGACTTAAAAGAATCACTAGTCCTTCCTGGCCATAACTTTCTCACATGTGTAATGGGGAGACATATCCAGGTAAGCACTGATTTGAAAGAATTTTATAATTCACATATGAACATCAGTTTATTCACTCTAGCCAAACAAAACACAATTTCAAAAAACCTCAAGTATTTAAATAAAAACGAAATTTGCAACTTAAACATACTCATTTCAGACTGTAGTATATTCAACAGCAGAGCTTATTTCTTTCATGTTTCAAAAACATAAAGCTGGCTGAGCATGGTGGCCCATGCCTGTAATCCCAGTGTTTTGGGAAGATGAACTAGGAACACTGCTTAAGGCTAGGAGTTAAGAGACTAGCCTAGGAAACACCGCGAGACTCCATCTCTCCAGAAAATAAAAAGAAAATTAAGGCCGGACACAGGGGCTTACCTGTAATCCCGACACTTTGGGAAGCCGAGGTAGGTGGATCACCTGAGGTCAGGAGTTCAAGACCAGCCTAACCAACATGGTGAAAACCCATCTCTACTAAATACACAAAAAAATTAGCCAGGTATGGTGGCATATGCCTGTAATCCCAGCTACCTGGGAGGCTGAGGCAGGAGAATCACTTGAACCCAGGAGGCAGAGGTTGCAGTGAGCCAAGATTGTGCCATTGCACTGCAGCTGGGCAACAGGAGCAAAACTCCATCTCAAAAAAATAATAAAATTAGTCAGGCATGCTGACAAGTGCCTATAGTCCTAACTACTCAGGAGACTGAGGTAGGAACATCACTTAAGCCCAGGAGTTTGAGGTTACAGTGAGCTATGATCACACAACTGCACACCAACCTGGGCAACAAAAGAGAGACCCTACACTAAAAACAAAACATAAAAATGTAAAGTTAACTAAAGCCATAAATATCACAAGCCAATCAATTTTTTTTTTTGAGATGAAGTCTCAACTCTGTCTCCCAGGCTGGAGTGCAGTGGCATGATCTTGGCTCACTGCAACTTCTGTCCTCCCAGGTTCAAGCGATTCTCCTGCCTCATCCTCTTGAGTGTGGGATTACAGGTGCATGCCACCATGCCCGGCTAATTTTTTGTATTTTTAGTAGAGATGGGATTTCACCATGTTAGCCAGGATGGTCTCAATCTCCTGACCTTGTGATCTGCCCGCCACAGCCTCCCAAAGTGCTGGGATTACAGGCATGAGCCACCGTGCCCAGCCAATCCAATCGACTTTAAAGGAAAAGATTAATCCCAGTTAGGCTTGAGCAAGGACACAGTAGTAAGGAACCACAAATATATGAGAAGGGAAATAAAAGAAATCTGGCATTATCGAGCATCAAATATAAGACCAGGAATGACAAATGAGACTGGAAAGGTAAAATGGAACCAGATTATAAAGAGCCAGAGGCTAAGGACATCAGAATTAATTCTATAAGCAAGGGAGTAACATGGTCGCAAACTTCCTTCAGAGAGCTGATTGCGTCGATACAAAGGGGAAAATCAGAGTTACAGGCTATAAACAAGCAGTTGTGGGGCTACTACAGCACTCCAACGGCTACTACAGCACTCCAAGCAAGAGTTGGCAAGTCCAAGAACCAGGGTCAATACTGGTATGAACTGGGAGAAGGAGGGCATTTAGAAAGAACAAAAATTAGCCACATTTAAAATGTGCTTAAATATATACAAATATATGAGCCTGAAGATGGTGGAGACAGGAGTAGTAGTCATCAAGGATTCTAGCATTAGTGATTAAATTGATAGAGATGATGAAGAAAAAGGGGCAGAGAGATTCAGAAATTAATTCTACATTGGATATGTTGAGCCTAAAGTATCCTAATCAATTCCAGATGAAGATGGCCAACAATAGCTCAATGTACAAGTCTCACACTGGAAGAAGTACGAGCTATTTAATAGAAATGACCCATATGACCACTCCTAGTGGCAAAGAAAACTAGGAAATCTAGTTTTTATTTTGTGTAGTGATACATCCAGAAGAAAATTAGGAGTCCTATCATTAAGAAAAGAGACAATAAACACTGGGATGGACTTGCAACACTTCCTCTACACAGGTAGAGCTTTGAAAAATTTACCCTAATTTTATCTCAAGCAGCATAATCTATTATGATCCAGAAAGTCTCAATGTACATCTGCAAACCTGAGAGAGTTTCTTCTGCTCCTCCAATAACATATACAGAAATTTTAAAGACTAAATATACCAACCAACAATTCTAGGAGGAAGGCAGATCTCTGATGAAGCTTCAATTTTTCAATTTCCAGTAAAGGTAGTATAGATAATTATAATCTTGCTGAAAAGATCTAGAAGTGCAAGATTCCAGGACTCAAGGTTTAGTCCTGAGGGCAACTGCCAGTTCCAAAGAAAAAAGCTGCAAAACTAAGGCAAACTTTTAGTGGCTTCACAAAAAAAGGAAGTCAAAAGTCAAAGCCTAGGACCTGCCAAGACATCTCTTTTTTTTTTTTTTTTTTTTTTTTTGAGAGCGTGTTGCTCTGTCACCCAGGCTGGAATGCAGTGGCATGATCCGCCCACCTCAGCCTCCTGGGTAGCTGGGATTCCAGGAACACACCACCACCCCCAGCTAATTTTGTATTTTTAGTAGAGATGGGGCTTCACCATGTTGGCCAGGCTGGTCTCGAACTCCTGACCTCAAGTGATCTGCCCGCCTCAGCCTCCCAAAGGGCTGGGATTACTGTGTGAGCCACTGTGCCCGGACAACGTCCCTAACCTAAGCTTGGCCCTTAAAGGTTTCTCTCCCAGGGAAGTAAAAACCAGTCTTAAGATAAACCTGAATCCTAGTTCTGCATCATTCTAGCAGTTTAAGGAATAATTACTCCTCATCTATAGATTCAACACAATTCCAATCAAAGTTCTAGCAAGCTATTTAATTGCTGACAAATTGATTCTGAAGTCTATATGGAAAGGCCACAGACCCAGAATACTAAACACAAGACTAAAGCAAAACAAGCTGGGCATGGTGACTCATGCCTGTAATCCCAACATTTTGGGAGGCCAAGGCAGGAGGATCTCTTGAGCCCAGAAGTTCAAAATCAGCCTGGGCAACATAAGGAGGCCCCACCATTAAAAAAAAAAAAAAAAAAGAAAGAAAGAAAGAAAAAAAAAAACCAAAACACTAAAGCAAAACAAAGCTGGAAGACTCAAACTCCCCATTTCCAGACTCACTGAAAGCTATAATAAGCAAAACAAGATGGTATTGGTGAAACAATAAATGTACATAAACTAATGGAGTAATGTTCATAGCAGCATTATTTACAACAGCTAAAAGACAAGAAAAAACCCAAATGCCCACTGACAGATAAACAAAATGTTATGTATATGTATTAATACAATGGAATAGTATTTAGCACTGTAAAGAAATTATCAAGCCATTAAATGAAATGGAAGAGCCTTAAAATGAATATTGCTAAGTGAAAGAAACCAGTTGAAAAGCATATATACTGTATGACTCCAACTATACGATATTCTGAAAAAGGCAAAACTATGGAGACAATAAAAAGGTTGGTGGTTACCAAGAACAAAGGTGGTAGTCACCAAGAGTTACGAGGGAGAGAGGGATGACAAGCTAGGCAGAGCACAGAGGATTTTTTTTAGTCAATGAAACTACTCTGTATGATATTATAATGGTGGACGCATATCATTATACATTTATGAAAATTCACATAATGTGTAACACCAAAAGTGAACCCTAATGTCAAGTATCACTTTAGGTGGTATTGATGTATTAAGAATGGAGGTTCATTGACTGTAACAAATGTACCGCTCTGGTGCAGGATGTTGACAGGCCACACAAGTGTGGAGGCAGGGAGTACAGTACACCTTAAGATGTTCACAAGATGGTATCACCTAATGACACATTTCTCAGAATATATCCCAGTCACTACGTGTCATGCAATGTACATGAGAACTCTCTGCTTTTTGCTCAATTTTGCTTTGACCCTAACACTTCTCTAAAAAATAAAGTCTATTTAAAAAAAGGAAAAAATGAAATTTTAATACATACTACAACATGAACCCTGAAGATCTGTTAGACACAAAAGGACAAACGCTGCAATATTCTACATATAAAAGGTACCTAGAATAGGCAAATTCATAGAGACAGAAAGCAGAACAGTAGTTACCAGAAGCTAGAGGCAGAGGAGTATGTGGGGGTTATTTGAATACAGAGCTTCAGTTTGGGATGACAAATTCTGGCAATAGATGGTAATGATGATCACACAATAATGTAAAAGTACTTAATGCCACTAAACTGTACACTTAAAAAGTGGTTTAAAAGGTTAATGTTATATATATGTTACCCCAATAAAAATAAATTCTATCTTTTTTAACTCTGTATTTCAACCTGAGATTTAAAAAGGTAGACATCAGGTTAAAAATACAGACTAGGCATGGTGGCTTATGCCTGTAATCCCAACACTTAGGGAGGCTGAGGTGGATGGATCACCTGAGGTCAGAGTTCAAGACCAGCCTGGTCAACATAGTGAAATCCTATCTCTACAAGATACAAAAAATTAGCCAGGCATGGTAGCACATGCCTGTAATCCCAGCTACTTGAGAGGCTGAGGCAGGAGAATCGCCTGAAACCAGGAGGCAGAGGTTGCAGTGAGCCAAGATTGCACCACTGCACTCCAGCCTGGGCAACAAGAGTGAAACTCTGTCTCAATAAATACAATAAAAAATAAAAGTAACAATACACTGAGGGTACATGAATAAGCGGACCAACACTGGCCTAGATCAGGGATCCCCCAACCCTGGGCCACAGGCTGGCACTAGTCTGTGGCCTGTCAGGACCAAGGCTGCACCGCAGCAGGTGAGCGGCGGGAGGGTGAAGCTGTATCTGTGTTTACAGCTATTCCCTACTGCTCACAGTACTGCCTGAGCTCAGCCTCCTGTCATATCAGTAGCAGCATTAGATTCTCATAGGAGCACGAACCCTATTGTGAACTGTGCATGCAACGGATCTACGGTGCATGCTCCTTATGAGAGTCCAATGCCTCAAGACTTGTCACTGTCTCCCATCACCCCCAGATAGGACCGTCTAGCTACAGGGAAACAAGCTCAGGGCTCCCACTGATTTTACATTATGGTAAACTGTGTAATTATTTCAATACATATTACAACATAATAATAATAGAAATAAAGCACACAATAAATGTAATGCACTTGAATCATACCAAAACCAACCCTCCCACCTCAGGTCCGTGGAAAAATTGTTTTCCATGAAACCAGTCCTCATAGCAACATGATTGGGGACCTTTGGCCTAGACCACTGTTGACTACCCTAACTTTGATTTGTGCCGCCGTTCGCAGGCTATTTGCTAAGTATTTAATGCACTTACTTAAGAGCAGTCTGTAGGCCCTCCAAAAATCAGTCACTGGTGGGAATCTTATGAAAAGTAGGTTATACTGTCAATCCGATATCTTTGCTAAAAATCCCTCAATTTCATCATCTCAATCTCTTCATAAAATTATTTCCTTTTCTTTTTTTCCCATTTGTATCTCAGCACACTGTCACTTCCGTCAGGGCCGCCTTCTCTAAGATGGTCTTCCCTCCATGAAAGATCAGGACCAACTCCTTATTACATACTCCTGTATTAATCTAAGCTCTTCCTTCACTATGTTTATCAAAATCAGTCACTGATTAAAGAATCAAGTGAAATAGATGTCTTTTTCATTACACTGTACTCCATGAGAACTAGTACCCTATTTCCTTTACCACAAAATGCTCAGCAACTAGTACAATAAATGCCTTGCACATAAGAGTCCAATAAATTTCTTGAATGATACACCAATACACTCTTAAATAACTTATTTACACTGAATAATTTATTTACTAAATCCTAAACACCTTAACCACAATTTAATCATATTTTGATGAAAATTATATATGGAATGCCTTATCTGAAAAAATACACATATAATTCTCTATCAATACTTCAAGAGTTCATGGACTTTCTTTCTGAAGCTTACTTATAAACCCCCAGAATAAAAATTCAAGTAAGAAAATTGTATGGGGGAAAAAAAAAATCTAACATTTTGCTCAATGAAGTGTCCTTTGATTCTGTCCCCTCAACTCCAGAAGCTCCCTAAAACAGTTCTGACTGAGCCAACGTCTTTAATGCCAAACAAAAGGATCTGAAAGATAAATGAACTCGAGTCAAAAAATGACTGCCACATCAAGGCCAGTGAAAAAAATCAGACTGGACCCAGATGCATGTTCTCCATCCATTTCCTAATCCTATAGCTTTCTTACATGCTATCTCCTCCAGTTACAATAGTCTCATCCCTTGCATTTCCACCTGCTGAAACCATTCATGTTCAAACCCAGTTCAAATACTACTCTTCCATTTAGCTTTGTCTGTTTATCCTAACAAGTGATCTTGCTATGAATTCCTATAGCACTTAGCTGTACAGTTCTAATATACTTATATACTGCTTTGTGTTACATATGTATATTTACTTCTCCTGCCAGTTACTGAGCTACTGTTTCTCAGCTTGAAAGTCACCCTCTATACTCTGCTTTGTGACCCTGGGGTTGGGACTCCGTGACCCGTATTTTTCCCTTTGGAGATGGCTTATTAGGCTCTGCCAATAAAGGTGGTAGAAAGAGACTAGAAAACTGTAAGACAAGATGGGACACTCTCTGTTTGCTTGCTAGTTTTGTTTTTGTTTCCTATAGCTGCCAGTGTCAATCAGTAGCTCTTCTTCAGGTCATTTGCAGTTCATTACAGCAGCCACAGCAGACTCCACTTTGTAGTATTTCTGACACAGAACCAGAAACGTCATGCCTCTAAGAAACATCAGCACCAGCCAGCCAGCACTGCCTTTTCAAAGTACTGGGCCCCATCCCTATAGGGCCCTTGCTCTCAGCTCAAGACAATAGTACCCGCTGAGGAGCATCCCGTTCTCAGAGGTTAGAGTTTTGGCTCCTTTCCTCCAAGCTTCTTCCTTGTTCTCCCAGTTCTACAAGTACTATCTGCTTCCTGTAGTTGCTACCTCCACAATACCTAACTTCCTTTGTATACCTAGTTAACAATTCTTTATAATAAATTCTCTTGTTAAAAAACCACTGTCGAGGTTTCTGTCTCATGACTGTATCCTAACACTCTTTTATGATTTAGAATATAACTGCTTAAGGGCGGGCGCAGTGGCTCACACCTGTAATCCCACCACTTTGAGAGGCTGACCTGGGCAGATCACTTGAGGTCAGGAGTTCAAGACCAGACTGGTCAACATGGTGAAACCCTGTCTCTACTAAAAATGCAAAAATTAGCCAGGCATGGTGGTGCACACTTGTGATCTCAGCTTCTTGGAAGGCTGAGGCGGCAGGATCACTTGAACCCGGGAGGCAGAGGTTGCGGTCAGCTGAGATGGTGCCACAGCCTGGGCAACAGAGTGAGACTCCATCTCAAAAAAAAATAATATAACTGCTTAGCAGAGCAGGTTACATAGCTTAAAAAATCTCATCCTTTCTATCACAATACTTTGTTCTCCCTTGTTCACAGTTAGCAACCAAAATAAATATTTAGTGAATGAATGAAAAACTTTTATGCCTGAAATACTGCTTCTAAGCATATCCTCTGAACCCTGTTCAAAAAAACCTCAATGATTTTCTAGCTAGTATATTCCCTTTGATATATTTAAGAGCCTCTGACAGACTTTAAGATCCCTTGCAAGTGTTTGCTCATTTATGGGAACTATATTATTAGTGTTTTAGCTTGTACCTGCTTGTCGAATTTTATTACATAAGTGGTTCTCACATTTATCTGCTCTTACTTGACGTTGTCACTTTAAATAATTTCTAGGCTTACTATTTTTTTTTTTAACCTTCACCTTCTAATCAGTTACCCTTTACTTCTGATTTTTCTCCAATTATCCTTCTTCCTTCAGGATACTGATATTAGCTTCACTAATAGGTTCCTCATGTATAAATGAGGGCAAAACTAGATGATCATCACAATATTCTGTTGCTTAAGAGATTCCATAATCTCACAGGGCCTCACCCAAATAAACCATCCACCCTGGCAACTTTTATTAAATTTGTATTTACGTAAGTTGATACACTCATCTAGCACAAAAAAAATCATTTTACAGACTTAAACAAAATTTAAAAACTGTTAATCCCAAGGCTCAAACTGACTTCTCCAAAAATCAGCCATACTACTTTTATTTTCACAAAATCCAGACACAAATACACAGCAGCGTACAAAGTTCCATATTAAGGCTAATTATCTTCTGATAATTTCAGGTTAAACAGCTTTTCAAGGTTATATAGTGAAAAAGAATCAAAATACCTTTTATTTGTCTCTTTCCTTTTGTGCTTGGTTATTTCTTTTAAGGCATATGGAAAACGACTCATAAAATGGTGTTTGAAATCAATAAGGTAGTTCTTTCGAAGCCATGACTCCTATTGAAATAGCAAAGATTAGTAAAATCTACAAGAAAAAAATGTAAAATAACCAATAAAACTGGAAGAAAATTGACAACTTGTAAAATAAATGTCCCATCATAGTACACTTTCTACCAGTAATATGTAAGCCAATTTTAAACTCAGAATGAACTGTTAAAGCATCCAGTTTTCATCCATAGATCCCTTTGGTGCTTAATAATTACTTTTACTTGCATTCTGTCTGCTGCTTAAGTGAAAAAGTGAAAATATCTGAGACTTACGAAAATTCTGAATTTGGACTATCAATGCAATGTTTATGAAATACACAAGAAAGTCTTTCTTCCTGATGTTCTATCTGTACCATAATTCTATTCTCCAGCAATTCCATTATTTCCCATTAAAGGTCAACAATTTCACAAACCAATGCATTTCCTTAAAATGCTTAAGTAGTTTTGGTGAATTTATCATTTCCCTCCTATGGAAACACTGTCTAATTCCAGATCAGAGTATTCTTTATTTCCTCTTATCCAGGGTAACCCAACAATCCATTTTGTCAGAGACTGAGAAGATTCCCAGATATGGGACTTCAGGTGCTAAAACAGCTGGTTATCCTACAACTCAATTTTTCTTTTCTGAGAAAGAAGTCTCATTCTGTTGCCCAGGCTGGAGTACAGTGGCACCATCTCAGCTCACTGCAATCTCCGCCTCCCAGGTTCAAGCGATTCTCATGCCTCAATTTCCTAAGTAGCTGGGATTACAGGTGCCTACCACCACGCTCAGCTCATTTTTGCATTTTTAGTAGAGACAGGATTTCACCATGTTCACCAGGTTGGTCTTGAACTTCTGACCTCAAATGATCCATCCCCCTTGGCCTCCCAAAATGCAGGGATTACAGGCATGAGCCACCACACCCAGCCGTACAGCCCAATTATTGTTCCTCCTTAGTATCTTTACTGGGTTCTCTTCTTCCTGACTTCTAAATGTTTGGATTTGCCTAGTAATAGTACTTGAACCATTTCTGCCTGAACTCCTGATTTTATATACAAAGGTATACTTGACATTGCCTCAACTTCTGATAAGCATCTTAAAACTTAGCATGAATAAAACCAAATTCTCCCTACCAAATAACCTTTCTCATTCGGGCAATGTAACGCTGGCATCATCCTTGACTCCTCTTTCTTTCATTATACATACCAGCAGTCCTGCTGGCTTTACCTGGATCCAGCTACTTCTCATTACTTCAACCACTAGACACCATTCCCCACACAGCAGCAGGGTGATCTTTTAAAACATAATCTCATGTTTCAAAATGATACAGGAAGCGGGAAAGGAAATGAGTGTACATACAAGTAGGACAGGACTGGTCATCCAAGAGATGATGGTTACTAGAGTTAGACTGTAAGCACTTGGGAATTCACTAGTGTTCTATTTTTGTAAATTAAGCATATTAAAGCTTAATAAATATAATGCAGATCATGCCACTCCTCTGCTCAGAACCCTCCAATGGTCTTTTTGCCACGCTCAGGATAAAATCCAAACTCCTTACAAGAGACCACAGAGTCCCACATAATCTGGCCACTCTAACTCTTCTCCCCCATCTTCAAATATTCTCCTAGTACCTCATTTGCACAGGCCCTCCTGTCATTCTTCAAATATGCAAACCTGTTCTCACCCCAAGGCCTTTGTACTTGCTGTTTCCTATGCCTGAATGTTCTTCCCACAGATGTTGACAAGACTTTCTCCTTCACTTCATTCAATGACACTCAACTATCTTATTCTGAGACAGCATTTCCTGACAATCTATCTAAAATAGCTCCCCCTCACTGTTCCTGCATATGCTCTCTTTATACCCTGTTTCACTTTCATCTTTCTTCCGAGCACTGACACTATGTTTGTTTACTGTCTACTGACCCCATCAGAAGATACATACCATGAGGGAAAGCACCTTATCAACCATGTTTATCTCTGTAGCCTGAGTCTAGAATAGTACTACTCAAAAGACCTTTCTGTAATGATCAAACTGTTCTATATCTGCACCATCCAATACAGTACCCACTACCCACATGTAGATGTTGAGCACTTGAAACATGGCTAGTGTGACCAAGGAATTGAATTTTACATTGTAATTAAGTAGCCATATTTATTGATGCCCAATAAAGCTTTGAAGAAGTGCCTCAAAAAGTATGACTATATCAGTGTTTGGTTACAAACTCTAATCCTCACAGGAAAAGGATAAAAGCAATGAGACCCAAAGAGAAAAAGTAGCAAGCAAGCCAAGCATTAAATGAAAAGCTAAGACACAATTTTTATAACATATAATACTACCCTATTAATATAGTACCCGAAAAACCATAGTAAATCAAAAATTTAATGTTAAATTGTACTTTTATTTTAAAAACTAGCTATATCAAGGATGCAGGTAGCTAGCTATTAAGGAAATGTATTTCAGAAATAAACAACTTCAGTTGATTATTAAAGGATCTGACTATTCAACCACTTCAAGTAAGACTTAATGTACCCTGAGACTTCAAAACAAGGATCAAAGCTTTAAATTACTAAAAAGTTTTTTTTTTTAATTACTTGAATACAAGTGAAATTTCTCAACTGTGCTGCAAATACTAGCAAACTAAATGCATTAAGCCGCAGCACCAACATGTAAAAGCAAGCAGTCGGTGGTCCTAAGACTACACCTAATCAAGACACCAATTTACCAATAGAAAAATCTACAGATTTTCTGATAGCAATGAGTTACAAATTCAGCTTATGGTACATGATTTGAGTTTAATGCCAAGGAATGCTATTTGGTTCCTCCTAAAGATTAGGCTGTGGCCAGGCAAAGTGGCTCATGCCTGTAATCCCAGCACTTTGGGAAGCCAAGGTGCAAGGACCATTTGAGGCAAAAAGTTCAAGACCAGAACTCGCATTTTAATATCATTTTGTATAGAATCGTACTAACAATCTATCATTTTGAATAGATTATACCAATAATCTACATCTTATACTCTGTCTCTAAGTTAATAGTTCATTTTTTTTAAGATAATGGTTCTTATCAAGTTATTACAAATCTGCCAAGGTGAATTAAGAAAATTCTACCAGTGGATGTTTTTAAATAACATTCCTATCTGAATTAACCATCTTCTCTCAATTTATTTCAGTTTTATACAGTATCTCAATTTAATATTCTCGTCTTCAACCATCTATGCAGTCTTTGAAACTTACCATTCTATGTTAATTAGCTAATAAGCCTAGTTATAACAGCACAAAATAGTTCTAAATCATACTGTTTTAAGTATCTATAAAATTAAAGCAGTATTCAGATCCTTTGTTAGTGTTATCCAAATGATAAGATGACCCAAAACTTGCATAATTAATGAATTTTCAGATTTTGTATTTTGGTCCTACTATTCTATCTAAATACAAACACTACTAACAAAGCAGTAACCAAAGTTTACTGGAGCTTATATGTAACCAAACACCAAAGAAACTCGGAATTTTTACTTCTTGGCTCTCTAAAAATGAAAAAACTAGGCAGCAAGCGGTGGCTCACGCCTGTAATCATAGTACTTTGGGAGGCCAAGGCAAACAGATCACCTGAGGTCAGGAGTTCAAGACCCGCCTGGCCAACATGGCAAAACCCCATCTCTACTAAAAACACAAAAAATTAGCCGGGCTTGGTGGCGTATGTCTGTAATTCCAGGTACTCAGGAGGCTCAGGCAGAAGAATCACTTAAACCTGGGAGGCAGAGGTTGCAGTGAGCTGAGATGGCGCCACTGCACTCCAGCCTGGGTGACAAGAGTGAAACTCCATCTTAAAAAAAAAAACAGAAAAAACTAGCACTCAAAGTCAGTGCTGAATATCATTACTTTTCCTTTTTTATAGGACATCTTAAGGACAATCATTACTTTTATTTTCTATCTCAACCTTTCAGATAATAGACTATAAGCAATACTTTTTTTTTGTTTTAAGGAGCTATATACCTTCTTACTGTCTCTAGCCTATATCACAAATTAATTGCCATATGAGAAGCAAGCTTTGCTTTCTCAAAATCATACATTATAGCCCTGATCAATTTTTTGCCAATGCATGCAATGAATCATAAAACAAAGTCTCAAAACTGTAATCGACAAAATGCCATCTTATTTAAAAAAGCAATCCACAAAACATCCCTACAGATGATGGGTTAATAGCAATAGAACACGCTTTTAAAATACACACCTTACTAAAATTCTATAATGCTTTTCAAGATTATCAAATACTACTTAACTTATCCCATCTTATTTTATGCAGCATACTAACTCATTCTAAACTTCAACTTGAAATAAAAATAACACAAAAACAAGAAAACTACCTACTCAGTTTTACATATACACAGAAAACTTCAAGGATTCACACCTGCCTTGTCAAAAGTCCTTACAGCAATTCTTCTGAAAACCAGATGCTTCTCTTTGAAATCTTGCTTCTGCAGCTGCCCCTTTTAAGTGTGTTACCATATTAATTAAGCACCAACTTAATCTCATGGCTTGTTCTTCCTTGGTTGCACAGAAAAAGTGTAGCATACACTATGCACTACATTCACTATAACACAACACTTAGAACAATTCAAGTCTGGCTATGAGCTATTTAGTTTTGTCCATTTCTACTAGGCAATGTGGAATAAATTCAAAAAGACTACTTAATAAGCAACTTTTTAAATACTGTAACAGACCTTCAGAAACGAGAATGTTCCAACACAATCTGCCATAAACAATACACCATAACACTACTGTGAATTATACCTAATAAAAATTAATGGAATCAAGCATAATGAGTTATGCATTTCATGCTAAAAATATACGCATTCACAAAAAACCTCAGAAAACTAATTTGTAGTTTTGTGCAAAACAAGTTTACAGATAAACCGGGATACTTTTGAGAAAATACATAACCAATTAGTACCAATGAGCTCATCTCTAATCTTCCCATTTACGATAAAAGGCAATACTAAGAAAATAAAGAACCATTAGTTCTCACCAATTTATGGGTTTCATCCTGTTGTTTAGAAAGTTTCCACAGAAGGGAAATAATATTAAGAATTTGTTGCATAACCTGTAGAGGCTCTCGTTCTATACCATTTCCAACAGGAGTAGCTAGTTGTGGAGGTACAGCTTCAACCCAGCACTCAATTAGCAATGGAATTATTATCTCAATAAATCCTTTTAGGTTTTCAGTAGATGATAGGCCTTCATCCACACCACTTAGTCCTCCAACTAGATACCTAATAAGGGTAAGAAAGAAAAAAATTTAGTGATTAAAAAATGTTTATTACTCCTTGCTAATTTAATCTTAAATATAAAGTACTAGTAAAATGAAGTACCATAAGCTGATAATTACATCAAAACTAGTATGAAACATGAAACTCAACAAAGATGACAAAGCCAACAGATGTTATCAAGTATAGGCTTTGCTATAAATTAATAAATTATACAAATGACTCTTCCCATCAGTAAATCAAATCATGAGTAACTATATGAAAACTATGAAAGACAACTGCATGTATTCCCACCAATAGTCATCAATGGTCAGCAGTTATAATTCAATACAGGAAAACTGAGTGTGGACATAACTGAAATCCTTCTTACCGTAGCCTGAACTGTGAACTGACATTTGGCTGTGAACCCCCATTTTCATAAACCTGGATGTGTTGCTGGTCGTTGGCATGTTCCTTCCAGTTGATAAAAATGGAGTTGCTAGTGGCATGGGGATTTTCTTTTTGTTCCTGAAGTCCTTCACTTTCTCTCAACCTACTGGATCCATCTGCCAAGGCCTGAAGGAATTTACTGAGTCTCACTAAGACTTTCAGCCTCCATTGCTGAGAAGTGAGTCTCCGATTAGGATTTACAGAAAGTATCCAGGACTGGGATCTGTCTCTATTTATCAGTCCTTTGGACAGCTGCTGATGAGAAATAAGTTCTACAAAATTCTTAAGCAATATACTGCTACGGCCAGTAATTAGAGCTGGGTACTGTTCCAGCAGAATGTCCAAAACTTTTAAAGAGTCCTCCTGAATTCCTTCAGTAATGTGAGTCATGGCACTAGAGAGATGGGCACTTACCAAAGGAAAAAATGGAGAAATTTGTTCAGCTCGTATTTTAGGGGCCAGGAATTGAAGAAGTTGAACTGCTGCTAATCGTACATTAGCATCTTTATCTGTAAACACAGCAGTCACTTCACTTAATATGTTTGAAAGGTGTGCATCAATTATAAATGGGTATTGAGACAAAAGTTCTTTAAGTCCAAGAAGAGCACTTTGTTTAACCCCAGCATTGTAGTGATGCATCTGTGACAGCAAATCCTATAAATAAAAATACAAATGTTAGATGTATACTTACATACTTATCAATTTGAAATAAACATGCTAACACTATACTAGTAAACTGACACTCCTTGGGGAAACTGCTTCAATAAGTACTTTTTAAATGTTATTTAGCTTTCATTAGGATCAGAAACAGAAAAATACTTTCAGCTTAACAAAAACACGACAGAATTTTCAGTTAGAATTTTCTCTCTTTACATTAACCTACATGTAGGCTTAGGCACTCTATGATTTAAAGTGACAGCAATCATACCATCATTTATTGAAAACCTACTATGTACCAAACATCATGGAAGGTTCATTTATATACTCTTAATTTGGCAGGTCCTTTCTGCCTGTTTTAAATGGTCTTTCAAAGGGTGTTTGTGTTTTATTCAGAGTATACTACTTCACAATTTTATTTGTGGAATAATATATGTAACCTTTGGAAAAAAAACTTCAAATAACCCTTTAGTATTATTTAATTTTGAGGGCTTAAAAAGCAAAACTAGAAATATATATATATATCCTCACAAAGACCTACACACAAATGTTTATAACAGCATTATTCATAAGAACCAAAAACTAGAAACTAAATTTTCATTAACTGCTGAGTGATCAACAAAATGTGGCCTAATCATGCAATGAAATACAATTCAACAACAGAAAGGAATGCCCTATTGTTCTGATATATGCTACGAGCTACATACAACCAGGAGGAACCTCCAAAACATTGTGCTAAGTAAAAGACCAGTAAAAAAGGCCATGTATTGTATGATTTCATTTATACGCAGTTTCCAGAATAAGCAAATCTACAGACATCAGAAGTAAATTAGTGATTGCCTAGGGCTGGGAGAAAGAAATGAGGAGTGATTCCTAATGGGTACAGGTTTTCTTCCTGGAGTGATAAAAAAATGTTCTAAAATTAGATTATGATGATAGTGGCATAGCTCTGTAAATATAATAAAACCAGTAAATCGTATACTTTAGGTGAGTGATTTTAATTATGTGTAAATTATGTCTCCATAAAGTTGTTAAATTGTTAAGCAACACTTGTTCAAACTTCAATTGACTTCGAGTATTTACTATGAACCTATAATAAGCTATGTGCCGTATGGGTTCAAAAGTGAATGACAGGATTGAATCTTAATTAGCTATAAAAACAGCTAGAAAACTGTTCATCAAAAATTTGACATATCAAAAACATGTAAGGATTATTTGCAGATACAGCCAGGCACCATGGCTCACACCTACAATCCCAGCACCTTGGGAGGCTTTGCCCGGAGGACAGCTTGCATCCAAGAGTTTGAGACCAGCCTGAGCAACATAATGCAACCTTGTCTCTACAAAAAAATAAATTAGCCAGGCATGGTGATGCTCGCCTATAGCCACAGCTACTTGGGAGGCTGAAGTAGGAGGATCACTTGAGCCCAGGAGGTCGTGGCTGCCGTGAGCCGATAGCACCCCATTGTGCTCAACCTGGGTAAGAGTGATCTCTGTCTCAAAAAAAAAAAGAATTAAATCATCAAATAAGTATACCAGGGAGAAACAACTGTGCATTTAGTTTAGCAAATCTTTCTACAGGAAGTGGAAAGATACAACTGTATGGTAAGAGATCAGATTTGGGTAAAAGATAAACTCCAAACATCAATAAACCCTATGAGCCTAGGCAAAATATTTAAGAGTTGAAACAAATTTTCACAAAATATAACATTCTTTATGATTCCAAAGAAAATCTTATTTTATCAAAACAAGATGTATGGTTTACCTTTATGTTAAGTTTTCTATTGTTTGTTGGAAGTGATCCATCCTCTTTGAGTTGCTCAGGCAGATGTATGGTCTTTGTTTTAAAGTTTGTAAGAGTAGCATTTTGTAACTTGGGCTTCTTTTTACCAACTTTCAGTTTTACTTTTTGAAAATCATCTTGGCGTTTTCTTTTTTTAGTCATTCTCGACTACTATAATGAAAAGAATTAATTAAAAGCAATGGATAAAGACAAGGATGAATGATAAAAGAAGAAAAAGGCATTTCCCAACACATTGCGCTAACATTTATTTCAATCATAATCTAGAATTAGTGCGTATGCTGAAAGATCAAAATACTAAAAAATACTGTTAAGAACTATTAAAAACTCAGTCATAAACTACTGTAACAAGGCAACAGTCTTGCCACTGTTTTGAAAAGCTTTTTGGGTCAGGGAACCTTTTGTCAAGCTATGTGCTAAATAAAAACCTTTTGAAAAGTGTTTTTTTCTTTTCCTTTGTTCCTGTGTAGGAGTGCAGCACAGACTTGCTAGAGATATAACTTCTATCTGCTGATGAGCTCCTGGTATTCCCCGGAGGAACCTCTCTAGCAATAAATATCAAGCAAAGTTGGAAAACCAATGTTATTATTTAATGCAGCCTATAATGGTTAGAAAAAGATTTATGAACCTAAGCTGAGCATTTGAAAAATGGGTAAGATTCAAATACACAGCAAGGCGATTTAATAGGCCTTTCATGAGCAAGGAAAACACAGTAAAGATCAGGTGTAAGGGATAAACCTAGTACAGCAAAAGTAACATTCAGACTAAACAGGAAACAGTATTCCTCTTTGCTCACCAAAAAGGATAAAAAGCATAAACTGAAATATGATGTAACAGGGAGATAAGGAACAAAGACCAGCTAAGCCACTATTAAAACAACTCAGGCGTAACACCATGCCATCTTGTACTCCCTCTCCCGCTATACCACATTCCAAACCTTGTACCTACACATGAAATCTTTGATCTGTGTCTCTTACCCATTTCCAGGCCACTACTTTAAAGAAGTCCTTTATTTCTACCATTCAATACGTTCTCCACTGATACTCTTGCCTACTATCTAGTGTCTACTCTCTAGTCCACTGGCCGTTTACCAGAGAGCGCTCTCTAAACACAGAGCTCACGACCAAGACTCAGGAGTTCTCAGTTGTTCCTACTCCTCACACACAGTAAAACCTCCTTAGCCTAATGCGGCCCCATCCATCCTCTCCAGCTTTATCTTCCCAGAAAGTAACCTCTAGTTAAAAAAGTAGCCTCCTCTACCTGGAAGCAGCTAAATGATTCTTGAAGCCTCTTCCACACCCGCAAAAATAATGAGCTCTGCCTTCTACTGTACACCACTCGAATAGGGTAAGTACCACTGGAATAAATAAAACTCCCCCTCATCTCCTGGTCTATCATAATTATCCTGTGCCTGGCCATAAAAAGCAGCAATGTTATACTATACATGAGGTCATAAAGAAATTGAGTAAAACGAAAGTTTCCATTATCAGAATATTAATAAAATGGCCAGTGCAATACTGAGCAGCTCAAGTTCAAGGAATTCCGAAGCCAATCAGCTATTACACTATATCCAAATTCACTTAATTACAGGGTTATATTAGATCGCCATGAGCTAGGATTTCTCACAGGTTAAGAACCAATTCTACAACCAGATTGGTTAGGTTCTTATCCAGACTCGTACTCTTTCTACCTGTACATTGTCCCAATCTCTATCTACAAAACAGAGATAATCATAAGATGAGGTATTACAATGAAGAGTGTTTTACACAACTGCAAAACACCAGAACTGTGCCTGGCACATAGTGGTTATGCTCTAAGCATAAATACATGCGTGTCCCTAAAGTCTCAGGATCAGTACATACCAAGCCCGGTTCTAGATGCATTGTGTACCTTTGCATGCAATCTGCACAGAACCATGCAAGATAGGTGGTACTAAACCCGTTTTAACAATGCACGTCAGAAAAGTTTGGAAGACACTCCTTTATCAAGAAGTTGAAGAGGGATTCATTCACAGAACTGAGCTCTGCAAATAACCTTTAACACACCAGAATTAACTTCAAGACTGAAAGTCTTCGTGGCAAAATAATTTACCTTATTTCGTTTGTCCCTATTCCCAAGTTTTCATCTCACTCACACCTCCAGTTACCTGAGTCTTTAAAAAAAAAAAAAAAAAAAGGGGGGGGGGTGGGTGGGGCGTTAAAGAAACAAGCCCTAAAAAGAAGGCCATAATACTCACATGGTCTCTTTTAACACAAAAATGGTTTTAATTAAGCAAGCACACGTTGTGAGCTTTTCCTACAATTTTATTACTAGCTGGTACCAGAGACGAAAGTAAATGGTACATGATGTTCAGAAAAGTTAACTCGCTTCCTCCCCCACTCCTCTGGGCTCTCTTTAGCCATTAACCACCTGATGAATCTTCAATAGTCTACTGTCAACTTTATGCCATATTATCTATTGCTTTGTATTAGTCATACTAATGCTTTCTCTGTTAGGAAAATTAAAGAGGGCTGACTGACCTTTCCTTGACTTTTTAAAACTAGTAATATTATTACTGTACACAAAGCATTTTTACACGAAGAATTCTGAAAGTTTTACTAGTAATTGACTTTAACTTATAACAAAAGATTTTCATAACAGAGCAAATCAAAAAGTCCCACTAGGCCACTTTTACAGTGGCCGGTTTTTAGCAGAAAGTAGGAACGCCAGCCTCAGGGGCGGAACTCACATCACCAGTCCTTAGGTTTGCGATCCCCAACAGTTTCAAAGCTGAACGTCACATATTCCTACTGTAGGTTTTTCCTGCTAATTCCAACAAAAGGCAGATCCTAGCGTTATTTGGATTTCAACTGAACTAAATTCCAATTATTCATAGTTTGCCTGCCACTTTCTTACCCTTTCACATTTCCACGTTCTTTTCCAAAAAAAAAAAACCCAGAGAGAACAAGCATACTGCACTCGGCCTTTGATAATTTCCTCCCAAATCCTTTAAACTCAAGAGTTCCTCAAAACTCCACGAAGGGGCCAACCAGGGGCGACAGACTTCCCAAAAAGCAAATGCCCCGGGCAGGGGCGACTCCAGAAAACCGTGGTCCCCTTCCGCTCGCTTAACTCTCCCGCCTGGGCGACCAGAGGGCGGAACATGGGACGCCTGCTCATCCCCGCTCCGCCTTCGGTCCTGCATCCATCCGAGAAGTACTATATACCGTGCTCCTTCTCCAGTGGATGCCGGCCAGGACCAGAGTCGGGAAAGTGGCCGATTTACACACCCGGGCCTAATACTCTCTCGGACCCGAAACTGGGCGAACCCGCCCAGTCACCTGAAGCTCCTCAAATGCCCTAAAGGGGCCCGCCCCCGCAGTGCCTGCTGCACACCCAGGCCCAGCTCCGAGGGACGCCGCGGCCCAGACCCGGGGGAGCGCATCGTCCACGGCCAACCCTGCCCGCTTGGGCCCCACCACGCTCCGTCCTGAGCCCCGGGAGAACCCAGTTCGACTGGCGACAGCCGCTCACCTGAGGACCCGGCGCGACCGGGACTCGGAGCCCGAGGAGAAAATCCAGCGAGCAAAAGCCCACAGGGCGACAGCGTGCACCGCCGGCCTCACGCTCTTGCTCCCGGAGCGTGTTTTCAAATAACCTCGTCCTCACGCGGCCGCGTCTCCTTCCGCCGCCCGGAAATCAAGGCCCCTCCCCCGCCCTGCTGTGCTCACGTGACCGCAGCCCGCAGCCGCGCGCAGCCGGGAGGTTGGAGCGGGAGCTGTAGGCCCCGCCCACAGGGGAGGGGACCGCGCCGGAAGACCCCCACTTTTTGGGAACCGGAGGGAGGACAGCGCTAGGTCCCGGGACAAAGCGTGGCGCTTGAGTCCACCCCATAACTTCATGGGCCAGCAACTTAGGGGAGGTGGTCCTGGTTACAGCTGAGCATGCCTTTTCTCTTCCCCCCAAGACCACGGTTCTTCAGACCTGGAGCCACTTTCAGAGAAGAGTATAAGTTGCACTGAATTGAAAAAGGGAAAAGTTTGAGACTGCAGAAGATGGAATTCCTGGGGACGTTAAACTGGGCTATGATGGAGTAGGTAGGGTTTCCTTAATCACAGCAAGACACACCTAGAATCTAGAGCCTGGAAGTCTTGGTCAATGATTCTTCCTAATATTTCAGTTTCTCAGCACTAACGTTCCTGCTACTAAAATGAAGTGAGAAATTAATTTCTGAAGTAAAGAAATAAACTAAAATTCCTAGAAAAGAGATAAGGAAGCAAGGAGAATGAGCCTTTGAAAAATAGTCTTGACAAAGATTGGCATGACGGCATGGAAGAAAGAGCCCCAGGTAAGGACTAAGGACCTTGATTCGAATTGGTCTGTACACCTTACCAGATAGAAGACTTAGTAAACTGGCGAAGATATTGACCCTCATTATATTGGGTAGGAATTCAAAGGAATGAATCCAGGGAGACCCCAGCATTGGAACTAAAACCATGCCTGTTCCATAATCGGAGATAAAGAGGCAGTGCTAGAAACCCTGCCCTCCTTTTGCTGGCAATAGGCACATCACCATCTGTCTAGAATCTACCATAACCATAAATATTTGGGAGTCATTGGCATTATATAGCATTATATTCTATTTAAAGCTATGACACTAGATCAGAAGAGGAAAGATTTATTGCCAACTAGACAAGTCCCCAGAACTCCAAACTTGTATCTAACAGTTTATTCAATGTTTCCTGCAGATATCCAATATACAGTTCAAAGTCAACTTGTCCAAAACAGAACTCCTGATTTTCCCCTTGAAATCTACTCTTCCTACAGCTTATTCCTCTCAAATAGTAAGTCATCCTTGCAGTTTCTCAAGCTGAAACCTTTGGGATTTTGGTTTGGCCTCTTTCTTTCACACCTCACATCTAATCCATCTGGAGATTGACTCTACCTTTAAAGACATCCTAACTTTCACCAGTTAACACGTCTCCCCTGCTACCATTCTGGTCCAAGCCACTTCTTGATCACTGCAGAAAGCCTCCAAACACATCTCTCTTCTTCCCTCATTGTCCCTTTTCCCCCTACAGTCGGCTATCTGCAGAGCAGCTGTGTAATTATTTCAACATCTAAATTAGATCAGATCATTCTTTTGCTCAAAACACTTTAATGGCTTGTATTTCATTTAGAGTAAAAGCCAGAGTCATTAGGGCCTTGTGTTAGGCTGTTCCATCATGACTGTAAAGAAATGCCTGAGACTGGGTAATTTATAAAGAAAAGAGGTTTAATTCACTCATGGTTCTGCTGTCTTTACAGGAAGCATAATGTTGGCATCTGCTTGCTTTTGGTGAAATCTCAGGGAGCTTTCAATCATAGCAGAAGGTGAAGCGGAAACAGGCATGTCACATGTTGAAAGCAGGAGCAAGCAAGAGAGAAAGGGACAGAGAGAGAGGTGCCATGCACTTTTAAATAGCCAGATCTCATGAGAGCTCACTATCACTATAAAAGCACCAAGCCGTGAGGGATCCATTCCCATGACCCAAGCATATCCCACCAGGTCCCACCTCCAGCATTGGGGATTACAACTCAACATGAGAGTTGAGTGGGGACAGATACTCAAACCAAATCAGTTCTCAAGCTCTTTCATATTCTGGCACAGCCCCTTACCCTCTGAGCTCTCCTCTGTCCACTCTCCCCTTTTTCACTCTGCTCCAGTCACACTTGCTTCTTGCCTTTGTCAAACACCAGTAACACCACACACTCCTGCCTTTGGACCCTTCCTTTAGCCTTTCTGTCTGCCTGAAACACTCTTGCCCAGTAAGTTTGTATGACTAACTCCCTCTCCTCCCTTGAGTCCACTCAAATATCTTCTCAGGAAGGCCTACCCTGACCACCTCATTTAAAATCACAACTTACCTTCTCCCAAGACTTGGAATTCCCCCTCTCTACTCTACTTTTTTTTTTTTTTTTTAGAATGTATCACCTTCTAATATACCAGGTGATTTGCTTACTTATCATAATTATTATTTGACTCTGTCCTTCATCCACTTTAATATGTAAGTTTTACATGGGTCATTTGTTTTATTCCCTGGTATATTCCAAGTAGCTAGAGCAGTGTCTGGTATCTAGTAGGCCCACAATAAATATTTATTGACTAAATGGCTAGGAAGCACCTGTTACATCGTGGTGATGAGCAATCGCTAGCTTTTATTATTTCCCTACTTTGCTGCAGGAAGGGGTTTTTAGACTCAGCCAGGTAAGTGGGGTTGGTGGCTGTGTAGCTGACAGAATTACTCTTGGCCTAACTAAAGGAAGCAGCAGATCTTCAGCAATGCCAACTGTTGTCATAAGGAAATGCAGATCTTTTCCTTTTTCAAGCAAAACCAGAAATCTGGTGTTTACGTCCATTCTCTGCTGCTATAACAGAATACCACAGACTGAGTAGTTTACAATGAACAGAAGTTTATTTGGCTCATGGCTCTGGAGCTAGGAAGTCCAAGAGTATGGCATCAGCATCTGGCGAAGGTCAGACAGAAGGGCAGAAGGCAGAAGTGAGCTCTAGAGACAGAGAGAACAAATCAGGCCTAATTCATCCTATTTGTCACCCTATACACCAGGGATAACTAACCCACTCCCACAGTAACAATTAATCTATTCATGAGGGCAGAGCCCTCATAACCTAATCACCACTTAAAGGTCCCACTTTGCACTGTAAGAATGGCAATTACATTTCAAAATGAGTTTTGGAGGAGACATTCAAACCATAGCATCCAGAAATATTTATAAGAAATCTGATCTTTAAATATTGGCAAGTACATTTTTCTCCCTATTTTTGAAACACTGTGTAGGCCAAACAAAATACTTATGAACAAGTTACTAGTTTACTCTCTGGTTTAAGACATAAAAAGTGTTTGTACATAAAAATCAGCTTTTCCAACTCTAAGTGATGAACTCAACAATTATAAGGATTGTTCACTTCCTGAGCCTGAAGAGGTCTTTGATTTGATAAATAACAAGCCTCAAGGTCCTTAACCCATGTCAGATAAACATTATTTACAATGAACCTACATTCTGGAATGTGTAGGACACTCCACTTCCAAAATTCTGTCCAATTGGCCACATAGGTGCTGTGTTTAGTTTCTGCAAACATAACAAAGTACCACAGACTGGGTGGCTTAAATAACAGAAATTTGTTGGGTCTCAGTTCTGAAGACCATGGAATGTGAAATCAGGGTATCAGCAGGATTGGTTCCTTCTGAGGATTCTGAGAAAGAATCTGTTCTATACATCTCTCCTAGCTTCTGGTAGCTTTAGACATTCCTTGTAGACATTCCTTCTGTGTCTTCACATTGTCTTCCCTGTGCATACCTGTTTGTGTTCAAATTTACTCTTTTTATCAGAACTCCAGTCATAGGGGCTGCCCTAAATACCTCATTTTAACTTGATCACCTCTCTAAAGACCTTATTTCTAAATAAGGTCACCTTCTGAGGTACTGGGGTTAGAACTTCAACATATCTTATTGTAGGACACAATTCAACCCATAAGAGCCACCAAGATCTGTGTCCAGAAATGTCTACATTTCATCATCCAAACAACTCCTTTTTGTCTATGCTCAGATGCAACACGATATTCTGGGTTAAGTAGCTTCCTCCTATGTAATCTACCTAACCTTTGCAGTGTCCCTTTAAAATGTGTTTCATTCTGGGCTTCCAGGATTTGCTTTGGGAATAAGGTATCACTGCTTAAAAAAAAAAAAAATCTGAAACACTCTTAACCTAATAAAAATTGATTTTATAATGTTAAAGCAAACAATAAAAGCATACACATATTAAACTGACTCTTACCTTACATTTTAGAGCTACTGCTAACACAAAAAGCAGTCTCTTTGAAGAAGCTGAAATGATGAGTTCAAACTTGATCGTATAACCAGAGGCACATTCTCTAGGAATTGATTGATATTATATATACAAATGACTTGGCACACTGCCTCAATAGCCCTTCAATAAATGGCAACAGTTATCACTATTGATAATGCAGCATTGGTCACTATTTGTGCAAAATCAACTTTTAATCAGGCTTCTTAGATAAAGTAACAGGAAATCAGTTCTGACATTATGTGAAAAGAAATTTATTGAAAGTGTATTGAATAACAGAGAACGGCCAGGGAGGCTGCCAGTTCAGGCTTAGAAAAAAGACAGGAAGGAAAAGATAGGCAAGGCCAGGAGTACAACCACCATTACACCACAAAATCAGTCTAAGACATAAGGATTAGAAATGGGGAAGTTAAATTATCTCCATTTGCAGATATCATTGTATATCCAAAAAAAATCAACGGAAAGCTTACTATAAACAAAAAGAAATCAGAAAGGGCAAGGAGGTAAAAATTAACATTTGGAAATCAGTACAGTATTCTTCACATATATAAACAATAACTATTTAGGAGATAGGATGGAAAAAGAGGCCCCATTTAAAATAGCAATCAAAGCAGATAAAAATCCTAGGACTGGATTAGAATATTCAACATCCTGTAGATATCAATTCTCTCTTAATTAACTAGTAAATTGAATGAGATTCCAATAAACATATTAACAGGGTTTTTTCCTAGACTTGTATATAAAAAATTAAACAAGCAAGACTATCCAAGAAAACTTTGAAAAGAGACTCAGTCAAGTTAGATATAGAAAAATATTATAAAACATCAATAATTTGACATTTGAATAGACAAACCAATGAAACAAAATACAAAGTCTAGAAATTGACCCAAATAAATACGTTTACCTCATTAGAAATGCAACATCTCATATCAGTGATATAAAGATAAATGGTTTGCACAAATAGGGAGCCATTTGGAAAAAGATAAATTTGGATCCATACTTCACATATCACCTTCACTTCACATATCACCTTCAAAGATGTAAATTTAAAATACAAATCCATAAAAGTATCAGAAAATAAAACAAATGAATTATCGTATGATTTTGGACTCCTACTGAGACTTTTAATGCCAGAGAAAAAATGTTTTAAAAACTTGATTATAAGATTTTCCCAGGCCAGACATGGTGGTTCATGCCTGTAATCCCAGAACTTTAGGAGGCTGAGGCAGGCGGATCATGAGGTCAGAAGTTCAAGACCAGCCTGACCAATATTGTGAAACCCTGTCTCTAATAAAAATACAAAAATTAGCTGGGTGTGGTGGCATGCATCTGTAGTCCTAGATATTCAAGAGGCTGAGGCAGAAGAATCGCTTCAACCTGAAAGGCAGAGGTTGCAGTGAGCCGAGATCACACCACTGCACTCCAGCCTGGGCAACAGAGCAAGACTTCATCTCAAAAAAAAAAAAAAAGAAATTAGGAATTCCAAAAAGAAGACATACACATGACCAACATCAATAATCATTAGAGAAATCCAAATCAAAACCATAATGAGATCACATCTCATATCAATCAGAGTGGCTACTACAAAGTAAAAAAATAACAGATGCTGATGAGGTTGTGGAAAAAAGAGAGTGCTTATACATTGCTGATGGAAATGTAAATAGTTCAGCCACTATGGAAAGCAGTTTGGAGATATCTCAAAGAACTTAAAATACAGCTATCATTCAACCCAGCAACCTTATCACTGGGTATATACCCAAAGGAAAATAAATTACTCTACCAAAGTGATACATAAACACATATGTTCATCACAGTATTGTTTACAATAACAAAGACATGCCCATCAACAGTGGATTGAATAAAGAAAATGTGATACATATACACTATGAAATACTATGCATTCATAAAAAATAATGAAATCATATTCTTTTCAATAACATGGATGCAGCTGGAGGCCATTATCCTACGCAAATTAATGCAGGAACAGAAAACTGAATCCTGCATGTACTCACTTATAAGTAGGAGATAAACATTGAGTACATGTGAATACAAAAAGGGGAGCAATAGACACTGAGGCTTACTAGAAAGTGGAGGGTAGGAGATTGGAAAACTACCTACTGGGCACCATGCTCACTACTTGGTTGACAAAATTATTTCTACCCCAAACCCCAATAACATGCAATTTACCCCTGTAACAAAACTGAACATGTACCCTCTAAAATGAGGAAAGTTGGAAGGAAAAGTAAAAGAAATGAAGGTTACTAAGAGTATACTCATTCTGTATACAAAGTGTGTACCGAAAATCAAGGGCTGGGCATGGTGATTCATGCCTGTAATCCCAGCACTTTGGGAGGCTTAGGTGGGAGGATTGCTTGAACCCAAGAATTCAAGACCAGCCTGAGCAACATGGCAAAACCCTGTCTCTACAAAACATACAAAAATTAGCCCAGGTGTGGTGGCATGTGCCTGTAGCTCCAGCTACTCCAGAAGCTGAGGTGGGAGGATTGCTTTAGCCTGGGAGGTTGAGGCTACAGTGAACCATGATCATGCCACTGCCCTCCAGCCTGGGTGACACAGCAAGACTCTATCTCAATAATAATAATAATAATAATAATGGAAAAGATAGATGGAATTTTAGTGAAAAACTCGGTAAAAACATGAAAATGGCCTTGGATGATGGGCACTATGAAAGCCCAGACTTCACCACTGTACAATTTATCTATGTACCCAAAAACCACTTGTACCCCTAAAGCTATTGAAATAATAAAGAGACATAAAAATGTGTGTTTAATAAGAAAAAGATAATTTCATCTCATTTAGAAGTTACTTAAAGATTATTTCAAATTTTAAAAATTGAAAGATATTGTTAAAGCTAAATAAAAATGAAGTAAAAAAATTAATTGCAATATGTTATAAAAGGTTTATAAAAGTCTTGTGTAGTCAAAAGATGTCTGAGATCAGATAATTTGGTTTATAAGGTTTTAGTAAAATTAGCTTTCCTATTTATAATATACAAATACAAAAGTAAAATATGGGTTTGTCTTTTAAACAAAAATGTTCATGTAGTATTAATAAATGGTAAAATTTTTTGTGCATCTTTTAAGTAAATAACAAAAAAAGACAAGAAGAGAATAAGAAAGAAATAGTCTGTCTTATGCTGTTTCTTTGGTCTGTCGATTGTTTGGAAAACTGAATCTCCTCTCAAAAAATGTTTTTTGCTTTTCAAACCTTTTATCATTTTGACTACATGAATATTATTTTACAGTGACTTGTGATCCTATTTGGATTGTTTTAAACCTTTGACCTATTTGATGTTTCTCAAAATCAAATTTTGAATTAGAAATTAAGTCTTTTTGACCTCCAACTAACTTTGAGTTGCTACAGAGGGCTCATACAATATCCAAAAAAGAGATAAACAGTTTATTTGATATGTTAAATTATGTGAAAAGTATTGTGAAATAAAGAATAATGTTTAACCTTCTTCAAGTTACATTTTAATAGATATGTTAATATATGTTCCAAAATTATATGAGATTCCTAACATTCTGATATGTCTTGATATGTTATCAGTCATGATTATTATGTTAAATTATTATAGGCCACAGAAATAACCAAATTTCTTTGTCAGTTGTGTCTTTACAACCATTTGAAGTCATTTTCACAGTTAATTACTTAATTCTGAAAGAGTTTCTAAAAACTCTTTACAAGCAAATAAAATTCTAGTGTATTGTGTCTTCAAAGCAGTTCATGGAAAAGATCAAAAGGACCCTGACAAACTCACTTAAATAGCTTTTTTGATGACTTTGGAATCAGATCATTTGGACTAGGTAAGAATTTCCAAAAACTCTAAGAAGGAGACTGACTGGTTTAAAAACTGATAACCCAAGCAGGACAAAAATTAGTTGAATACCAAAAAAATACTTTGCCAGATTTTCACACTAAAGCAGCTGGTACTGAAATTGTTTAGAAATGCAATTTGAATGAACTCCATGATCCACATCAAATCACCTATGATAACCCATCTAACAAACAGTGGTAGGCACCTGAACTAGAGAAACAAAATTAGAATTTGAGAAGATGTAAATCCAGTGTTAAGCATAGACTCAGATAGATGGCTGCCTAGATATTCCTGAGTCCCTAAAGCTTTCATTATTAAAAGCTGTGCATTCCAGGCTGGGCACGGTAGCACACCTGTAATCCCAGCACTTTGGGAGGCTGAGGTGGGTGGATCACAAGGTTAGGAGTTCGAGACCAGCCTGATCAACATGGTGAAATCCCATCTCTACTAAGAAAAAACCAAAAAACAAACAAAAAAAGCTGTGCATTTTCCATGACTCTTCAAGAAAGAAATAAGATGATCCAAATAGAAAATATATTGGCAGCTGAGCATGGTGGCTCACGCCTGTAATCCCAGCACTTTGGGAGGCTTAGGTGGGTGAATCACGAAGTCAGGAGTTCCAGACCAGCCTGACCAACATGGTGGAACCCCATCTCTACTAAAAATACAAAAATTAGCCGGGCATGGTGGCATGCATGTGTAATCCCAGCTACTCAGGAGGCTGAGGCAGGAGAATCACTTGAACCAGGAAGGCAGAAGTTACAGTGAGCCCAGATTGCACCACTGTACTCCAGCCTGTGCAACAGAGTGAGACTCTGTCTCAAAAAAAACCAAAGAATATATATTGGCATGGTGACTATTCTAAATCGCCAAAATTATTTATGACCAATATTTGGTTTCTCAAATTCATAATCCTGGAAAGACAATCAAAATTTCAGGTACTTTTTTTTCTACCTGATGGGCCATTTAAAGAGTTATAGTGGAATTTTACTCATCATTTTCAATGCATCTTTTCTGGTGATATAAAAGATCTCCCATGCAAGGGGGCTGATGTTATAACAATAGATAGAAGCTTATTTTTTTTAATGTGTTTCCCTTCTGGGACATTCCTGAAGAAATTCCCAGCAAAAAAGATACTTGTTTCACTGGACAAATTGTAAAACAGTTAAATAAGGTATTACAG